TTTCGAGTGGCCCTGGCAGTACAGCTTCCCGCCCTTCTTCACGTGAGCGCGGCCGGGGCTGGGGCTGGGGGGTCGGGGCGGGGAGCGCGGGGGGCCGGGGGCACGGACCGGGGRTGCCGGTGCCTCTCCGCCCCCATGCTGACCGACCCCGCAGGCTGCAGCCCAACGGCGAGACGCGGCAGAAGCAGCTCTCGGCCTGGTGCGCGCTGGCGCTCGCCTACAGCCAGCAGCACCGGCTGCCCGCCATGACCGTACGGGAGGCTCAGGACATTCCGCTCTTCTCCAACCATCGCCTCCAGCGTATCCTTTGGGCTCCGGTGCCCGCGCCCCCGCCGCCCGTGCCCCTCTCGCCCTCACCCCCCGCCTCCAGCAGCGCCTCCTTAACCCGCGCCCAGGGAAGCTGCCGCTGGAATCCATCCAGGTGGTGCTGGAGGAGCTCCGCAAGAACGGTGGGTGTCTCGTCTGTCCGTGCTCCCGTCTGCGGGCTGTGCCCGGCCCGCGGTAGCTCTGTCCCGGGGCCGGGGCTGTGTCTGACCCGCTGTAGCTCCGTCCCGGGGCCGGGGCTGTGCCTGATCCGCGTTAGTTGGGTCCCGGGGCTGTGCCTCCTCCCGAGCCGGCTCCTACGGCTGCCCCTGCTCGCAGCTCCGCGGGACCCAACCCTGCCTTTGCAGGCAGATTCAGCTGGTGCTGAATTCAGATTCTTCCTCTGAATTCAGATTCTTCCTCTCCCCCAGAAATCACTTTCTGTCGCACAGCAATATTTAGGTGGGGCTGCCTCTGGGTTCAGTGTCAGGCACGTGTCCCGAAATCTGCGTGTTTGATCCTTGCTTCTGGCTCGTGCTCTGCTTCAATCCCTTTCCCCTGTTGTTTCTAGGGAACCTGGAATGGTTAGATAAGAACAAAACCAGCTTTCTGATCATGTGGAAGAGACCGGAAGAATGGGGGAAGCTCATCTATCAATGGGTGAGAGCGCAGGGGCTGCACACCCAGACCAGGCTGTGCCCGTGAGGATGGGGGGTCCTGGCTGCTGTTTGGGAAATACCACTGCAGTGTTCTCCTCTTGCTTCCTCACTGCTTTTACCTTTCTCCTTCCATTTCTCTCTGTTGCAGAGAAGTGAGGATTTATTAGCAGCTTGTCACTTGCTGTGAGCCGCAGTGTGAGCGGCGRGTGTTGTCCCTCAGTGCCACTGGGTGAGGACAGGGCAGTGTCACTGCCTGGCCCAAGTCCTCCCTGTCAAACACGTAGGCAGGAAGAGCAGAGTGGCAGGGGAGGGACTGTCTTCATTCCCTCAGGCTGCTCTTCCTGACCCCTCTCCCCCAGCGTGTGTCCAGGGTGCTTCTGCTTATCCAGGGCCGTGCACACTCCATGTTACACGCCTCAGGATGTGTGAGAGAGCGGACAAGGATGCTCAGCACCAAATTTGCTCTGTTGCCTTGGTGTTTCCAGGTGTCAAGGAACGGCCTGACCAACTCTGTGTTCACACTGTATGAACTGGCCAGCGGGGATGATACAGAGAGTGAAGGTAATGTTGGRGCTCTGTTCTGGAACAGATTTTCAGAGCACACTGGGTTGTGTAAACAGTTAATTGTCAGGTTACAGTTTTGTAGGTTAAATATTTCAAAATCTCAGATTCAAACTCTCACTTTCCCACCACTGGCATGTGCTGTTCCAAAGGCTTTTATCACTTTGCAGAAACATCCTCCTCTGTAATTACATTTTCACTTCCCCAGTGCTCAGCATTTCATCTGGTGTGATGAGAGCGATGTTTTGTTTTCAAGCCAGGCTCCTTCACTGCACTACTGTGACTCATTCCTGCTGTCTGATGACCTTTAGGCTTCATTCCCCAAGTGTAGATGTAGAGATGAGCCTCTCAGTGTAGCCATGACTTTGGAGTTTGTAGTGTTATGGTGCTCTTCAGAGCCCTTTGCATCGCTGCCCCCAGTCCCTGGACCTCACAAACCTGTTTGCTTCCTGATGTGATTTTTTTTTTTTTTTTTCACTGTTGATGGGGATCTTTGTCCTTCCCTAGAGTTCCACGGCTTGGATGAGGCTATGCTGCTCCGTGCCCTGCAAGCCTTGCAGCAGGAGCACAAGGCTGAAATTATCACGCTGGATGACGGCAGAGGTGTCAAGTTCTTCTGACAGGAGAGCCTCCTCCCCTTCCCTGCTGCAGTCTCTGGTCTCGCTGCCAAGAGTCGCTCTCTGGGCCTGGCTTCAAGCCGTGACTGCAAGTAGCTGCATCTCGGGATTTCTTGGGGCAAGATGAGTCTGCAAACCCTTCCAAAGACTTAGCAACACCCAGAGATCCTCTGTCTGTCTGTTCTCCCTGTTGATGTGTTCCASAGGCTAAAGCTGCTCTAGGCAGTTCTGAGAGGGACCACCCAGAAGTGAAACTGGGGGCTGCTGCTGGTCCCAGTTCCTGTGATGGCCTCGAAGCGGTCAGTCCCAACTGGCTGGTCAAGCTCTGCCTCAAAGGGCCCCCCTGTACCCCTGCCAGCCCCGTGCCTGCAGTCCTGCTGTGGTGCCAGGGGCTGAGGCAGGAGCAGGGGACTGGCAGTGGAAGCCCTCGGTGGCAGAAGGAAATGCACTCGCTGCCAAGYGGGCTGGGGGGAGCCAGGGAACTAATTTCAGGGGATTAAAATGARATGTATTTATAGAGCAGCCTGGGTGTTTTCATCTTTATTTTTCCATCAGAAATCAAACAGCAGTTTGTACCAGACTTTTGCTCTTCAATCATATTTCCTTGCTGCCCAGGGAAATGTAGTGGTTCCAGGGTGGGAAGCAGCAGCACAAGTCTTTTCTCCACTTGGCAGAATTGTGGCCTGTGGGGACCCTCACTGCCCTTCTCAGGGCAACATTTTACTTTCGTTTTGCATGTGCAGTCTGCTGGAAGCCCCTGGGTTTGTGCAGAGGTGATGGGGTAAGCTCTGTGCCACCATGGCTGGGTGAGGGATGACTCAGCTTTGGGCTCTCAGTGCTGATAACAAAGTCCCCAACTTGTCACAAACCCTGGCCCAGGTACAGTCACTGACCCTGTCAGTGCTGGGGCAGCAGATGGCTTTGCTGGGACAGGATCACCTTTGCCTGATGGTTGCATTCATGTCACTGGCAGAGGTTGGGGGCAGTGCTGGAGTGACCTCTGGTCAGCCCAGTGTGGTCATTCTGGGGGTCTGGCAGAGCAGATGGCGCTGGCACCTCACACACTGCCCCTGTCTGGTGCTGAGCAGTGTGTCTGGCATTCCCTGCCCTTGGGGACAACCTGGCACTGGCTCAGCTGCTGYTGACAGCTGATATCAGCGTTGAGGAAATTTAAAATTTCAAGTTAGAAATTTGTTTTGTAGCAGGAGGCCATTGACCTGAACTTGGTGGGGTGTGCTGCCTCGGTGTGGGCACATTGCTCTGGAACTGTCWGGAGCCCAGGCTTCCTCTCCATGCCAGTGCTGTGGAGGAATTCCTGAGTGCCAGCACGTAAGGTGCCAGCAATGCTTGTGAGGAGTCGCTGACAGTGGGCTGATATGGTCTCCTTTCTGCAGACCATCATCCCTATGAGCCCTGTCATGGTGCTGCCATGCCCTGCAAAGGCTGTGCCATGTGCTGTGAGCCCTCAGTGCATCTGTCCCCACCCCTGGTACAGGCTGGAACTCACTGGTTGATCAGGGATCCTCCCTCTGTCTGCAGCCACCAAAGTCTCTGTGGATTCATGATTCTGCCCTGGATTGGCTTCCATGTCCAAGATCTGCCTCAGTTTTCCTCCCTGTGCCCCCCACACTGCCCCTTCCCTCCCTGCTGGCTCTGTGTGCCCTGCTGCTCTGCACAGAGCCTGGATGATGTGCCTGAAGGTGTCTGCATTTGATCCCAAATGAGCCTTCAGCAGCGGGGCTGGAGTGTCTGTCCCTCTGCCTGTGCACGATGCTGAGTTCCCAGCACTGTGCTCCAAGCTGGGAGTGCCGTGTGTAACCTGGCTGTCCTTGAGGGAGYCTGTGTTCTTAATTAAATTTGCTCCCTTCTTAGGAAATGGCTGATGTGACATTAGATAAGCCTAAACCCAGCTTTTCATTCCAAGGCACTCCTGGCAACAATTCCTTTCTCTTTTTCAGCTTCCTATTTAGTTGCTTACTCAGTGAGGGGGGAGGAGGAGGAGAAGGAAGAGTATGTCCCCTYTGCAGAATGGACACGGTGTAAAATTCC